TCATTATAATAGATTTCTTCCTTATTTTTTTTCAAATCCGCTCCTAAGCCTCAACATGTTACACAATGTTTGCGAAGATTTTTGTAGTACATTGACCAGAACAGTTGATAAAAGAAAATAATAATTTTTAAGAGAGGGAAACTTTACTAATCGGCGCAAAAATAACACTATTTGCTAATTAAGCATGTTTCTTCGACTGCTTAGAACTAAACTATTTGACATTTTCAATTAAAGTGAATATTAACAATCTCTATTTAAATGATAGAGTGATAACTTGTAAATATTTTAAATTCTTCTCTCCAAAATACTTTGTAAAAAACTTGATGGAAAATACAGACGAAAGTAGGCATAGGAGATGATGCATCTCACATCTTAAAAACTCAATTTTATTTTAAATAGAATAAATATTTAAATTTGGTGCTGTTTTCTATTTTCATTATTAAATAAAAACAAATTAAGTATTTTGAATATGATCGGTTCAGAAGAACGTTTCCAGGAACTGTCATTGCAATTCGTGTTTAATCGCAGAACTGATATTTACACCACGTACTTCATAACAGGTCCAGAATTATCAATGGGATTTATTGAAGTAAACCCCCATTGGTTTCCCGGAAACGAGGATGCACAATGATGCAAATAATTTAAACCACATTTACGTCAAGTGAACTACGCTGAGCCCGGAGCGTGCCACAGACTTCACTAAATTTCTAGTTTTAGCAGAGTAATTCACGTTGATCTCCACTGCGCCACCGCGCCAGTAAACCGCAGTATGACATCATGTGACACAACGGGGTGAATTTCGGAGTCAATGAAGCCATATGAGTTTCTACGCTATCAACCTACGCTGTGTCTAGTGCTAGTGATACGCCAGCGAAAAGCCACACCAAAAACGAACAGTGATTAGATAAATATGGTAATGGTGACGATGCCAAAGATAATTACAATGGAAAATAGGGACGAGAAATGGGAAACACGGGAGAATCCAGAAGAAACCCTACCCAAACATTTTTAATCGCAGATTCCAATTAAAGTAGCATTATTGTAAGCATAAAGGAATCAGGGAGTCAGCTGCTATGCTAAAGGTCGACTCTCCATATTTGCCATTTTAATTTATTATTATGATTCCAGTTCCTGAACCTACGTGACACGATCTGATAGAGGCGAATGATATTGAAGGCAAGATGATAATTGCAACTATTTAAACGAATTGCAGTGCAAAATAATGCGAAGTGCAAAATAGTGAGTGGCAGTATTGATGTGAAATGATATGAAGTCAAAATAGGAGAACCCTGAGACAGTCCTATGCAAATCCTATTCGATAACCAAAATTACACTCACAACTACCACAATTTGAATTCTGGTGCCCAGTGGTATAAATTCGTACGCAATTTTTGACAGGAGGATCACGTTTTTGCAAACCGAAATAAAATTGATTTTTTCGAAAAGTTTTTTTAAATATCTTCTCACTGCCTATATTACATCCGTGTGGGGGGCACAATCACATTTTCAAAACCAAAAAAATCTTAAATTTTAGCCATTTTAGTCACCGAAAGGTCTGTGTTCTGACACTGTTGATGTCATCAGGCATCTTTCTAGAACTCAGATCTCTCTAATCCGAAAAAAACTAAGATACGAACATTTTTGTCTGCGGAAAGGTTTTTTCTTCTCTCTCTCTAGGTCACTCCCGTGCATTTATGATCCGATCACAGTTGTCTAACGCGAAGAAAACTACAGCTGCGAACAGCCTGCATCCTCGTCAGGGAATCGTCACATCGCTCCAAACCGAAAAAGAACATGGAATTTCGATGGTTTTAGCCGAGTGAAATGTGCATATTTCCATTGTTGCGTTGACAACGTAGCTCTCTGGGACGCGCTCACGCAACTCGCAAACCCACTGGGGTTTCAACGTGTTTCGGCCCTCGGAACGTGTATACGCTCAGTGCCCGTCCGCGAAGCGCCTCGGCCGGGCGGCTGGCGCAGGGCGGCGGGCGCTGCGGCGCTGGGAATAGCCGCGAGGACACGCAATGTCGCGGCGGCAGCTCCCGAAATACGCGCGCGCAGCCACCGCAGCCGCAGCCGCCTCCGCCCCACGTGCGTGGCGGCCATCGATCGGCGGCGGCCGGCGCCGAACCCAGGTCTCCCAGCAGAAGCGGACGCCGCGGCGGCGGCGGCGGCGGCGGAGGCGGCGGGCGGCTTCCGGGCGCACGTGGTCGC